CCAAATACAATCACCTCCAGCTCCAGAAAACAGAAAGCTGAAATACTAGACTCAAGGTTTCTTCTGTCCTGTAGTACCTGCACTGTCCACTGGTCGTATCGCAGTTGACATCGGGGGTGATGACGCCGGGCCGAGAGCAGTTGCAGACCTCGCAGCCGACCACCGGGTGGCAGCCGAACGTCTGGGGCTCGCACGTGGTGCATTCAGGGCGGACTGTCCTCGGAGGGCAGATACAGTAACCGGTCACGGGTTCACACAGCCGAGTGCCGCAGTTACAGGCTGGAGGAGAGAAATAAAACCAATAGATCATCAGCGATAAACAGAACTTTAACATCCTCATGCAGCATATTAGAAATCAGATACTCACGTCTGCAGTTGGGGAATCCCCAGTATCCTGTCGCACACATCGAGCAGTCTCGGCCAATCACGTTAGGCCTACAGTGGCACTGACCGCCGAACAGCTCGCAGGTGTCGCTCTCGGCTCCGACCTCGTGGCAGGCGCACGGCATCGCCCCGTTGTTGAAGAACGCCGACAGAGACACCGCAGAGCCGAGGCAGAACGGAGAGGCGGTGGACGGGCTGGAGGAACGAGAAGATAAGACACTAATTATCTCTTTCCTTAAAGGATTTATATGTGATTATTTGATCCAGCAGATGTCGCCCTTGAGCTCCAGCATGAAACCAAAACAACTAGAGCTGCATTGTTGTGTTAGCATGCTAATGCTAGCGATCTTTATTATGCTGGTATCTTCACACTGCATGTAAATTTACCTGAAATGAGCGTGATCTAGAAACACAGTTAAGCAGTGAGTACAGTATGTTATTCTTCTTTTCTCTAGTCCCTCAATTAAACAACTTTTATACACGAGGGGAGGAGTCAGCCGGCCGTCCTGGCGATGTAAACAAAGTGAAGATAGGACTCTGAAAACTCTGAAAACATCACAGACAGTGGGACTCGGGTGTTACACCCATTGTAGACAGTCATGACTCACAGAGTTATTTTCAGAGGAGATACTTGATTTATATTTAAGTGTGAAAAATCACATAGAAAGACTTTAAGTTATCATGGCAGCTTTTCCAAGGAGCAATACTTCAGTGCTGTGGAGGTTTCTATTCAAATATTTCACAGCTGCTGCTAACGTCTTTCCTTTGCGACGACACTGACCTGATGTAGAAGCTTTTTTGGCCGCAGCTGCTGATGAAGTCGTAGGATTTGTCCAGAGGTTCCTCGCTCATGTAGCTGGAGCTGTAGCTCGCCTCGGGCACGACCAGCACATAATCCTGTAGAGAGACAACAGGTGAGATATGACAGAGGGGGGAACAAATCAGGCTCCATGTGAGGCGAAAACACTTTTCTTCTCATATTTTTATAGATCATAAACACAAAAGTAAAGGAGAGATATGGAACTCTGACCCCCTAGTGTTTAAAATGTGTACTGCAGTCTAAATTCTAAACATTGTAGAGTGCTGTCTCTTCCCCCCCCTCCTCTCTAGAGTGGATGCTCACACAGGTCACCATGTGGTGGACTCTGAAGCTTCAGTGTTTAGCCAGCCAGTAATGTAAAGAGGATGAATGAGGTGGAAAAGAGGAGGGGGAAAAGGTGGAGGACTAGTTCCTGTGTAGGATTTCAAACATCTTCAGGTTTTATTAGAACAATGTAAACACAAAGAGAGAAGAGAGGAGCCTCATTTTAAGAGAAAACAAAAAGAAGAAGGACAGTGAACTAACCAGCCACAGAGTCTTTCCAGCAGGAATCTGCACCGTGAGGAAGACCTCGTGGTCCGTCACGTCCAGGATGATCTGATTCTCGGAGACCAGGACGTTACGGCAGCCGTAAGCGTGGGGGCAGAAGGAGGCGTTGGCTTGACCTGAGGTAGAGAACGATAATACATTATTCAAACAATTTTATTTTAAGTTACTTTTATTATTTTTCTTCATACAGAGATGTTTATCTCACCCTGCCAGATCCGTCCCCCGTTGATGTAGACCTGTACCGGGTAGCTGGGGTGGTGGGGCTGATGGTAGTGGAGGATGAAGACGTAACGCCCCAGAGTGTGGACACGGGTCGAGTACACTGCTGCATTCTGGGTCAGGAGAAGATGGAGGAGAGAGAGAGAGAGAGGAACAAAGCTAATGGTGGTGATGCTGATTTTTTTAAAGTCAGAAATGTTCTGAATTCGGACTTTTCCCTGCAGCGCCGCCATTTTCTGTGATTAATCTAAATCCAACAGGTTGTTCAGGAGTTAAAAATTCAGAATGATCATTATGGTAGTGCCTTCTTGGGTTACCATGGTGATTGTGCCACCCATGGCTTGTAGGTCCTACAGACAGTTTTAGTTTTGATTAATCCTGCCAAGAATCTAAGCTTCAGTTTCAAACATAACCACTGAAGAAAGTAACTGAACGCATCGTGCATACTTCAGGGTCCTTTACCTGTACCGAGTCCAGCCTGACGTGGTCGCTGTTATCCGCCCCGTGTGGAGGTCTGTCTCCGCCCGTCCACTCCGGCTGGTCGCTCTGAGAGAGTGGCAGAGGAGGAGCCGCGGCGGGCGAGGCCAGGACGGGCTCCTGCATGGAGGAGCTCTGACCCTCCTTCAGGACCAGAGAGTCTGACGGGGTCTGGAAGCGTGAGGGGACGCAGGACGAACTACAGACAGACGGGGAGGGAGGGAAGAGGGTCATAAGTATATTAATAAACTACGTCTGAAGGTAAGTAGAGGTGTTACAGGTGAGTCTACCTGTCAGGGGCAAACTGTCCTTGAGTGCTGATGCAGTGGACTTTAGGGTCCACATACTCCATGCTGAACTGATCTTTAGGCACCAGGTAAACTTTGTGCTGGAGACAGAAAAAAGAAAAAAACACAAATCACAAACCGGACGGTGATCTTACTGCTGTCACATTTCTCTGGTCGTCTTTATTTATTGTTTGACTTCTGACACATACAGGTTATTTAAATGATGATTTAAAATCTAAATTTGAAACAGCACGAGCTCATTTTGATATGTTTTGAAAAGTTTTGGTATTCAGTGTGTCGGACATTTTGGAGATAAAATCAACTTCTTTAGCTTCTTCACCCTCTATTATGATAAATGACATAAACACAACAATGTGTTTTATGGGAATCTGTCTGTTAAAAATGTCTTCAATATTCTTGAAAAGTGCGAAATAAATAAACTTTATTATTATTATTATTATTATTATTATTATTATTATTATTATTATTATTATTATTATTATTATTATGATGTGGCGCCGGTGCTGTTTTCTCACCAGGAAGAAGCTGGCGCGGTCGGAGATGAGCTGGATCTCGGGGTCAGCGGAGAGTGAGAAGACGGCCACTCTGCTCTGCTCATCGATGGCCATCGCTCGACACAGGAAGCTACACACAGACACACACAAACACACACACACACACACACACACAGACACACACACACACACACACACACACACACATGGAGATGAGGAGCAGTTGACAGACTTCATAAAGGAAGGACAGTAAGAGTAAACTGTGAAGCAGCTGAGTCCACACAGACAGTTTCCTCTTTTACATCCTCATCTGACTGAATGATGACAGCTGGGACTAAGCCTCCTGTTAGCTGCAATTAGCTGCCCTGCTAGCCCCCTGGTAGCCGCCCTGTTATCCACCCTGGTAGCCGCCCTGTTATCCACCCTGGTAGCCACCCTGGTAGCCGCCCTGTTAGCCTAGGGGGCGCTATAGCCCCATCACTAATCTGTCTAGCCGCGGTTAAGCTCCCTCATATGTCTGTTTCATTTATTAATCAAGCTCCCCTCAGCATGGGGAGAAAACAAATCTTGGCTCCGTCCCTTGCAGGACTCTTTTGCATCTCTGGATCCTCGCCCTCACGGTCCTAATCTTGGCGTTCATCAGAGACGATGTAAATAATCAGAGAAGGTCGTGATGTTTAGTCAAAGTGAAGTAGCTAAGTCTTCTTTGTTGTACCTGTATTTGCAGTGCAGCAGGGTGACGCGCTGCTGATGTGTTCTGGATCCAGGCGTGTTCACAGCCACTGTCAGGGTCTGCGGCAATTCCTCCTCGCTCGAATACTCTACGACCAGAACGTATTCGCCCGGGGAGGAGAGACGACCTCGCAGCTCCACGCTCATCTGCAGCAGACGTGAAAGAAGAGTTTATGAAAAGATGTTTCATAAACTAAAAAAAGGTCTAAAAAAATGAAGCTTTTTTTCCTCTTACATCGTGTCCGCTGCACACGGCCATGTCAGGGTGGCGAGGGGTGATCTTCTCAGATGGGCAGGGGCGGGGCAGATGGTTGTCATGGACGCAGCTGGCGTCGTTACCGGCGATGGAGGGGAAGGCGTCCAGAGAGAGATACCTGTACAGCAAACAGCTACACGGACACAGAGAGGACACTTAGATCAAGCAGGTTTTGATTTCTTCTCATTTGTTTTATGACATTAACAAAATAAAATGTGAATATTTTTCAGGTGAGGATACTTAGTCAAACATTTCTGTTTATATCAAGATCTCAACCAGGTTAGTGTCAGAAGGTTAAGAAGCTGAACGGTGACGTCATGTTTGCAGGAAATACAAAGGTAAGAATATCTGAACCACCTGCTTCCATAAATCTCTCCTAAACATTTAATCCTGTTTGTTTGATTTGAAGAGTTCAAAACAAACAAACATGTTTGAATGGATTTCATGTTTTTTTTTTGAGTGTATGTTTCTGGTTTTCACCGGGCTGCGCATCAAACTTCCCCATTGTGATTGTAAGATTGAAGTTAAAGTTTAGGTTTACTGTATTTAGTAAATAAAGTGTGTATATTTACTTCTGGGTGATGTCTTGCAGAGCGCTGTAGGTGCACGGCTCCGTCACTTTGATCTGCAGGATGGGAGCTTCATAGTACGCACTGGGAAGAAGAACCAGGTAATCCTGCAGAGAAAACAGAGTCAGGATCATGTTCCATCATCGTGACTGCTTTTCCTGTTCAGGGTCAGGAGGGGCTGGAGTTGATCCCAGCATGTCAACAGAAGTGTGTGTGATGGTCTCACCAGCAGGATTCCCTCGGCCTCGATCACGACGGTCCAGGTCCCCGGGTTCAGGACAAACGGCTCCACAAAGTTGTTCTGGGGAACGTTGACAAACGTGGGCTCGGCGCTGGGAGAGAAGACGATCTGTTTGGTCTGCTCCGAGCCTAAAACACACACACACACACACACACACACACACACACACACACACACACACACACACACACACACACACACACACACACACACACACACACACACACGGTGATTAGACTCAGGCTTCTTGTACCACTCTGCCACTGAGCCCCCATACACACACATAGCGCTACTTCAGAAACAGAAGGTGTGAGATACTAAAATTTAAACTCAAGTTAAGATTCATGAAAACTGAGAAACAAAAAGTCAAATTAAATAACAAAAATACACACACACACACAGAAACACACACACACACACACACACAACACACACACACAAAACACACACACACACACACACACACACACACACACACACACACACAAACACACACACAGAAACACACACACACACACACACACACACACACACACACACACACACACACACACACACACACACACACACACACACACAGAAACACACACACACACACACAGAAACACACACACACACACACACACACACACACACACACACACACAGAAACACACACACACAGAAACACACACACACACACACACACACACACAGAAACACACACACGCAAACACAAACAGACACGCACACAAACACACACACACACACACACACAAACAAAAACACACACAGACACACGCGCGCGCACACAAACATGCACACACACACACACACACAGAAAACACATACACACACACACACATACACAGAAACACACACACACATACACAGAAACACACACACACACAGAGAAACAAACACACACACACACACACACACAGAAACAAACACACGCACGCACACACACACACACACACACACACACACACACACACACACACACACACACACACACACACACAGAAACAAACACACACACACACACACACACACACACAGAAACAAACACATGCACGCACACACACACACACACACACACACACACACACACACACACACACACACACACACACACACACACACACACACACACACACACACACACACACACACACTCTCTCTCTCTCGTGATTGGTGCAGACCTACCTTTGCGGTTCACCTGATAGGCTGTTATTTTACCGTTGGAGGTGTCGCCCTCTGTGTTTACATATCTGAGGATGAAGCGAGTCAGATAGACGTCGGCCTCGCTCACATAAACCTGAAGCTTCACTGCAGTCTAAGGACACAAGGACGAGTGGAGGAGGGAGGAGGAAGGAAGGAGGGAGGAAGGAAGGAGGAGGGATGAAGAAGGGAGGAGGAGGAGGAAGGAAGGAGGAGGGAGGTAGGAGGGAGGAAGGAGGGAGGAGGTAGGAAGGAGGAGGGAGGAAGGAGGGAGGAAGTGTGGAGGGTAGAGGAGGTGAATCTTATGTTTTGAATCCCTGACCTGTGCACTGATCTGTGGCCCTGAAGGGAACGAGAGCGAGCAGAGGGAGCGTACCTCTGTGATCTGTCAGGTACAAACAGGAAGCACCTGACAGGACGGACGTGTGAAGAGAAGGAATAAAGAAAGGAAGAGAAAGACGATTTCATCCAGGACATCAGCTGTGTTCCAATCAACAACAAAACATTTAGGTATGAAGTCCAGGTCAGAGAACGTAGATGCTCTGATGGTTCAAATATGGTTCATCATGAAATGTGTTGATGATCTATCAGAGACATTTACTTCTAGCCGGTATACATGGTCAGAAAACTTAACATCACGTTCAAATTCTTTTTTTTTTTAGCTTTACTTCTGCAGGGAAATTTCTCCAGAATGACTTGAAAATGGCAGATCTCCTTTTGCTTGAAGGCTCGATTCTCAATCAGTTCATTCAGTTAAAGCTGTTGAAATTTCATGAATTAGTTGATTACAGTATTTTGCAAATGACGTTTAAAGCTAATCAGAAAACGTTGACAAAAAACATCCAAAACAGATTTGAAAAAAGGGAAAGCCGTTATAATTTAAAAGGAACACAGATCTTTAATAACTTTTGTGAAAGAGGGGCAGATATTATAAGATTAGTCTTCTTTCTGCTACTCTTCATTCAGAATTTGAGATTTTATGTTTGTTTGTTTTTCTTAACTTTATTGTTTGTTTGAATGAAATAAAATGTACAAATAAAATGTACAAATAAATAAATGACTCCCTGTCCTTTTAGGATTCCTTTTAAAAATTGTACTTTAAAAAAAAAAAAAAAATGACCAGATGCTGTTGACCCCTCCATAAAACGAGCGGTTTCAGCTATTGCTCCAAAACTCTGGAGCGAGCTGGAATTTTCACTTGAAATCAAAATGTCTTAAATGTTTGAAGCACAGCTGAAATCCTGATCAAAGCATAGAAATCTGCAGGTGAGGAGCTGCAGTTATCGACTGCTCTGTGCTGCCTCTGAAGGAAAGGATGTTAGGAAGGAGGAAAGACAGAGGAAGGAGTCGAGACTTTCCTCAGATCCCTTCTTTATTCCAACCCTGGAACGAGTGAGAAAGAGAGACCTGGCCCATCACTTACAGTTACCACAGTAGTAGTTCCAGCCGTCCTCCATCACCGACACCCTGCCCCGGACATCAGAACCCCCCCAGTTGGAGTATCGGAGCACCACATGGAAGAGGTCTGGAGAGCTGACCGACACCGACACCAAGACTTTGGACTGCCGGAGGAGCGGGGAGAGAGGCGGCAGGCGAGGAAGGAAAAGGAGAGGTACGGAGAAGAGAGGATAGACGAGGTTTAGGGGAGGAGTCAGGAGATAAGAGAGAGAGAGGGAGAGAGAGAGAGAGAGAGAGCGAGAGAGAGAGAGAGAGAGAGAGAGAGAGAGAGGGAGAGAGAGAGAGGAGAAAACACCGACACAGAAAGAGAAAGCAAGCCAAAAAAACCTCATTACCATCACCTTCACCACTTAGAGGAACAGTAAGTAACATTTCTACCCAGAAATATTTCTCTTTGGATTCAAGTATTCAGCACAAACATCCAGCCTTTAGTTTAACATCTGAGTTCTTTGGATGTTTATGTGCTGAAAAGTGATTCTACTAAAGAGAAATATTCCTTTAAATGTATTTAAACATTCAGTAATAGAGAAAGCTACCGAGGTCATGCAGGAGGAGCATTAAGAGGGCCACAGACACAAATACACGTCATGTATAAAGAACAATATTTATAGATCAGAAAGCACAGATTCAATCAAACTAAAAAACAGACCTGGGAAATAAAAACAAGACATTTTAAGATTTGGGAAATTTGTGGAGCGGCTGAAGCGCACAAGTTTCCTTCTTCTGACATCATTAAAGGCCTTTGCACACTGAGTCCGTTTTTTTTCCGTCTGAAACATGGTGCACGTTAAAAAAAATAAAATTCCATCTCATGTTTGCAGACCGACACGTTACCTTCATTATTTCTCTGTGAAACTCATTCAGTGAAACTCACTCTCGTCTTGTTTTTAAGGACTGAAAGAATCCACTAAATCATCTTCACTGCTTGATCACTTGCCGTGATGAGTACGACAACACAACGGACTCAGTGTTCAGGGTTTAAAAAGCATCCCAAAAACTCAGACTCAGTTTCCTAAGGCCTGAACAACAGCAGCAAATGAACAGTTTTTCTTTTTTCCATTGTTGCGAAATATTTTTAATTCCAGCTGAAATCATATCGCTGTGCAGGTTCAGGTCAAAGGTCAAATTAAAAAGTTCCTACCTGGATGGGGGACATCTGAGCGTAACCTCTCCAGCTGAATCCCGGGAACTCCAGAGGGTTGTATCCGAATCGAACCGCTCGTCCGTCCAGAGTGGTCCCCTCCTCGATCTCAAACTTCAGATGATGGAGATCGGGGAAGTAATGATCGGGACGAGGCCTGCAGACACAGAGAGAGAGAGAGAGAGAGAGAGAGAGAGAGAGAGAGAGAGAGAGACAGAGAGAGAGAGAGAGAGAGAGAGAGAGAAGAGAGAGAGAGAGAGAGAGAGAGAGAGAGAGAGAAGAGAGAGAAGAGAGAGAGAGAGAGAAGAAAGAGAGAGAGAGAGAGCGAGCGAGCGAGAGAGAGAGAGAGAGCGAGAGAGAGAGATTTAGGGGGGGGGAGATGACATTCAGAAAACTGAGGAAATCCTGACCAATCAGAGAGCGGTTTTTAATCTTGCATCACACACTTTGGTCTGCTTGGGAATGATGATTCAGACCAGAGCAAACGAACTAGAGGTGGGAATCCCCCCTTAGAGAGTGAAGGACAGTGATGAGCAGAATATGTCTTAAACTCACAGGTTACACTTTGGTCCCTCGATGTTGGTCTGCAGCGACAGCGGCCGTTCCTCTCTCCACACAGCTGACCTGCTGCACCTCCGATGTCACACTGGCAGCCTGAAAAAAACCCATCAGATCCAAAAAATGACTTATACAGCAAGAAGATCAGGTTCAGGTTCAGTTTGCTTTATTTGTACCCGTCGGCTGCAACATCTCAGCTCTGTCTCTCAAAGGGAAAAACCCACAAAGAGACATCAGCGACCTTAGAAACCCTCACCCTGGCAGCCAAAGTAGTTGTGTTCCTGCAGGTTGTAGAATCCGTCTTTACAGGTGGAGCAGGTCCCGCTGCAGGCGTTCGGTTTACAGTGACACTGACCCGTTTCCTGTCAGACAACAAAGCCATTAAATCAAGAGCAGAGAGACTGATGTTCGGAAAAAGACGATCAAATTATCAAATAGAAACCATGTCCTGACAACATATGGGTGTGCCTTGTGGAAGGGGGGCAGCCCCATCACTTTTGATAGGAGCGCAGCATCGCCGCAGCACTAGGTCCTATCCCCCATTTGCAGTGACGGGCTTTCCAACGGTACCAGCCAGAGTGTGTGGACGTTGCGATGCTGAGATTTAGGCTTTTGAATGACCAGAAATGAATGGGGCGGTGGAAAGGGTAAAAAGTACTGTTAAGTGTTTTGGTGAAAATGGTTCATCCAGAAAGTGTTTTTAGGAGCACGTTTCAGAGCATTTGGAGTCGATGTGTTTTGTGTGGCTTTTGGAGTGGACTTGTGTACTTGCTGAGACTTGCAACACATCCCGAGTGATTAGGTTATGTACACACATACAGCTGGCTGGACCCTGCAGCTGGAAGATTCCCTCCTAGCGTCTGAGGACTGGCACAAGGGGGCGGGTCCAGAAAGATATTGTGGATTCACCTTCTACCACACAATCTGCAGCCAAGCTCCGGTCTGAAACCTCTTACATCAGCTAAACCCCCTCACCCTCGACCCCACCCACCCACTACAACCATCACCTTCCACACACACCTACCCATCCATACACCCCCCTCTCATATTTGTTTTTGATGCCTTATAAAGCATGTCAGAGGAGGAACAGAAGCTTCATTTGCTCACCTGTGCACACTCTGCAACACCGCTGATAGTTCCTGCAGCGTTGCACTCACAATCTGCAGAGAGAGGAGACACACACACACACACACACACACACACACACACACACACACACACACACACACACACACACACACACACACACACACACACACACACACACACACACACACACACACACGAAGTTCATCTCAGAGCGACATTAATGCATCTAAACTGGTGAAATAAATATGATGTGTGTGTGTGTGTGTGTTGAGTGGTGAGTATCTCTTACTGGAGCATCCATCAGACGTATCAGGGAAGGTTCCAGAACAGAGGTTTACAGATGTCACAGGCCGGACCCTCCACATGCTGACGGCACACACACTGACCCTGAGAGAATGATTAAAAAACAAGTACGTTTGTTTCTACAGTGAATTCTGCATCAAAATAAATAATGTGAATAAATGATGTGTAGATGAATGAACTCTTACCACCGGCGGAGGCACCGCATACTGAACGGAGCCTGCAGGTGGCAGGTACCAGCTTCAGAAGACAAAGGAAGAAAAAGATGATTAACTAACTGCAGTGTGAGTTAAAAACAGCGGTTCTCAACTAGTGGTCGGGACCCGAAAGTGGTCGTGAGTTATCTTCAGAGGGTCGCAAAAATGTGTGAGTAGAAAATAAAACGTTTAAAAAAAAAAAAAGTCTATGAAGCTGGGGCGCTGGTGCCTAGTGGTGAGTCGACAGACAGTATACAGAGGCTTTAGTCTTCCAAGTGGGGGGGGCCCGGTTTGAATCCGACCTGTGGCTCCTTCCCCGCATGTCGTTCCCCACTCTCTCTCTCTCTCTGCTTTCTGACTCTGACTAAAGGCATAAAAACCCCCAAAATAATTCCATGCATCCATTATTTATTCGCTTTCCAGTCCTTGTGTTGCAGGGGGCTGGAGCCAATCCCAGCTGTCACTGGCCGAGAGGCGGGGTTACACCTTCTCATTGTGAGGCAATAGCCCCAACCACTGCACCAGCGAACAGCCCCTAAATTATTATTATTATTTTTTATTTTTTTATTTTTTTAAATACTTTATTGCAGGCTGTTTTACTTCATTACAAATTGTCATATTTCATCACATATTTTGTTCATCCTGGCACATTTTTATATATAACTTTTTATATAACATGAAATGAAATAAAAAATAAGAAAAATCCAAAGAAAAGGTACAAAGGGAAAAAAGATAATTAAATTAAGATTTAGAAAGAAAAAATAATACTACTAATAATAAAAAACATAATAATAATAATAATAATAATAATTAAAAAATAATAATAATTAAAATAATAATAATAATAATAATAAAAATAATAATAATAATAATAATAATAATAATAATAATAATAATAAATAGAATGGGGCAGGGGGAGGGGGTTGTTCCTTCGATTTTCTTCTCTTAATTTAATATAATTTCATTTACATACAGTACCTGTATTATTCCACTTTAGCCCCTAAATTATTATTTGTTTTAAAAGTCTATGAAGCGCTTTTTAAACACCTTTCTCCTGTTCCATTTCTGAGTTCTGTCACATGTTGCTGTGCAGCCTGAGGTCAGAGCGGCACCATTCTTCAAATTCATCTGATTGGTTGAGTCGGGATTTCTCATGAAGCAGTTGGTGGTGGGTCTTCAGGCTAGACTAGTTAAGAGCCCCTTCTTAAAGGTGTGTATACCTACGATTTCCGCTGTCATTACGGATTACTATGTGGTTACTTTGCACGTCTTTTGTTCGCTTAAAACAACTATTACCTGTTTCCATTTCCTTCCCATGTAATTGAGGATATGCATCGGCTCTACCAGCTTCAAGACATCAATTATGAGCTTTGCCTCGATTGTTAGAGTTTGTTTTTTTCATGCAGCATCATCATCACAAAGAAGAAGTCTGTTTGTCTTCAGAAAGCTGAAGAAACAACTTGTTTTGAATTATTTCTTCTTCTCCCGCTCTACAGTTTCCCATGACACTCTCACTCACAGGCCCTTAAATCAGATTACTTTTAACCCAACAGTTCTGTTTATTATGACACATAAACAGACGCTCTAATGAGTCGCACGGTCTGATGGAAAAATAATCAATAAATACAAATAAAAAATGAAAGTGGAGTTAATTCGCAGTAACTCAGTCTGCAGGGACTTGGGTTGGAACCGGAGGTCGCCGTTCAAGTCCAGTCGACCAAAATCTGGAAATTTGGTCTGGTAGCTGGGAGGTGCCAGTTCACTTCCTGAGCACTCCCGAGGTGCCCTTGAGCATCGGTTTCTGACACGACCAACGTTGAGTGAATCGAGCGACAACAAAAGGACATTATCTCATCTTTGAAAAACATTTAAAAAATTTAAATTTAGTGTTGCTGGAGCTCCCTTTAACTGCAGCCGTCACACCTCACCTTAAGTCTGTTTACCCTGGCATGTGTGCGTGTGCGCGCGTGCGTGTGTGTGTGTTATATATATACCTTGGCAGTTGGGAAGCCGTAGGAGCCGTGTGCACAGCTGTCACACCTCAGTCCCACCACTTCGGCAGACACCCACACTGTCCCGTCCCCTGGTCGCAGCTGCTGTAGCGCGAGCCTCCGGAGAACACTGACAGGCTGAAAGACAAAACGTTAAAAACTCCCGTTATCCAACAATCTGATTTATTGATTTATTAATACAAGTTAACTCAGAGAAAAGGAACGATCATTTCTTCAGGAAAAAAAAAAATTGAAACTTCTACATTTGATCCAAAAAAGAAGCCATGAAGGAGTTCATAAGACTTACGTGTGCAGCTTGGTAACCATAGTAACCGGAGCACACTGGTCACATGAGCCCCGCTGTAGTTGGGCTGGCAGTGACAGTGACCTGACGCCGTGCAGCTGCGTCCAATGACGTGCGAGATCACATGCACACTGTGGAACAGGAAGTATGATACAGTGTCAAACACTGGCAGACATTTTCCGTACTGATGAATTAATTTAAGAGTTTTAAGACTTCATGTATATTACATTTAATTAAAATCAACCTAGTGGATTAAACAAATAAATAAATGTGTGTGACACAATCCTCCAGCTCACAGGACATTTCACCTCCTGAGAAGCGAGAGGCCGCTCCTCCAGAGAAATCATT